TAATATAATATAATATAATATAATATAATATAATATAATATAATATAATATAATATAATATAATATAATATAATATAATATAATAATATAATATAATATAATATAATATAATAATATAATATAATATAATATAATAATATAATAAAAATAATATAAAATAACTAACTAACCAAAATAACCCTGGGATTCCTATTCCGACATAATCGTCAGATAGTACATTTTGATGCTATAAAAACCTTTTTGCGAAAAGTTACCAACAAAATATGCAGGCACAGCCTATCAACAGCTTTAAACGCGAACATTCGCTTATAGCGATATAATTTGATTATTCGATAAAAAATAAACAAGAATATGTTTTATGAAATCGTATAATTTCCGTATGCAGATCGATGCATCTTTGTATCTTCTTTGAGAAGTTATTAAAGCATTTCGGTCGAAAATTGATCAGCTTGGAAGTTGTGATTTTTATTCCGGATGCTCACATAAACGCCGCACTGTGCGGAGCACCGCAACGGCGGATCATGGCTCGAGAGCCGACAAGAATCCTCGAAGACGCGTTTAATATGCTTCGACTCTAATGTAATTGAAAAGTTCCCGCGGGCCGGGCTCTCTTTTTCATGGCGATCGATTCGCGACTTTTCTCGCGAGACGTTAACGGCGCGCGACAAATCACCGCGAGCTAAATGTTATTAGAGCGAAGTTGGCGAATAAACCCGTCCTTTCGTTTGCGCGAATTTCAGTATCAATTGAATTTCTAGTATCAATTTTATATAGATGAACTATTACATAGAATACATAGATTAACCAGAAATAATTATAACCACATGGATTAACCTTTAAATTGTTAATTGAAGATGTCGACGATTAAATTGTTAACAGAACTGTATTGGCAATGCAAATAAAAATATACTTTCGAACGCAAAGAAAACTTCATCAGAGTTGGGGAAAAGGGGGGAATTTATGTTAATTTTAATAATTAATATTATAATATTATTATAATTAATATTATAATATTATTATAATTAATATTATAATATTATTAAAGGGTTATATTATAATATTATAATAATTAATATTATAATTATTAATAATTATAATAACTAAAGAGTTATAATTGTTAATCGTTAATCATTGATCAGATTAATATTTTCCCAACTGTGGTTTTCACAAGTGAATGTTCAGAACGTAACATTTTGTCCTTCAATACTGATCGCATAACATTTAGTCGAGTCTTAAATTATTTTCTTTTTTTTAAATAATAGACTACATAGTATGTGATAATGTTTATACTCCGTGATCGTGGAAGTAATAATTAAAATTATCTTGACCATCTAAAGCAAACCTCTCCTCGTTAGAAAACATTACGGTTTGCCACCTTTTCTTTCAGCGAACGTGCTAAGCTTAAACGATCCATTTGGACCGGGCTGTTGTAGCGGTTTCCATTGAATTTTTCTTTCGTGTAACGTGCTCACATGTTTGAATTACACAACACGCCTTCCCAACATTAATTTCGTTGCCTCTTTCGTGCGTAATTTTATCTCGCCGCTGTACACGCGAGTTCGATGCAGCATACAAACTGCTCTTTTCTATTTGATCAATACTGAATGGTAGGGTAGTTTTCCTCGGTCGTGATTAGACATCGATATTATTCATGTAAGTAACCGCACAGAAAATTCTACGGTCATGGTGGAAGTTCTAACAAGAAAGAAAGCTTGAATTATCGGAGAAATGAATTACTTGTTCAAGTATTCTTGCTCGGAACTTAGAGAAGACGCGTCGAATTAACGTTTAATTAGTGAAATGAACGAACGTCCTCAAAACGATGTGTCCTCAAAATTGAAATGTAAACAATTGTTTTTAACCTTCATGTAACC